GGTCGCGCGAAGCGCGTCACCCGCGGGGCGGCCCCGCCCCCGTCACGCTGCGCGGGCCGAGTCTGCTGATTGACGGAACGAGGCGACGGGTTTGTCCAGGGACTGGAACGCGATTGGCTGTGGAGGAGGCGAGTGGGCGGGACAGCCGGGCTGGGGACAGGGAGCGGAGAGGGACAAATTAGGGCGGGCGGCGCTTCCCCATAGCAACGGGAGTGTGGCGGCGTTGCTAAGGGGAGTGCTGGGAATAAAATAAATCTGTGTGTTTATGCTTGGTGCGGAGGTGTGCTTCCCTCGCAGATCTGCTCCCAGTCAGATGGCTTGTACTGCGAAAACCAGCGTGAAAGCCGCTAGAAACGGGGAGCAGGGGAAAAAAGGGAAAATATCTGTAAAAGTCAGAAACGCCGCTAAAGCTCACGTGTGAAATCCTGCAGCCTGAAACGCTGTAAAATGTAGAATATAGCCTACACAAAATTCAGCATTCAGAAGCACCCCGGGGGGGGCAGGCATTCAGTTTGTCGTTTGTTTGGGTTTTTTAATTTTATTTTATTTTTTTAAATTTAAATGTTCATGTTTCTTCACAAACGCACACCGAAGCCTCTCAGAAAGTTCCTGCAGAATGCTTGATTTTTCTATCAGATTCATCTCGCTCTTTTTTTTTTTTTTTTTTTTTTTTTTTTTTTTTTTTTTACTGTTGGTGGTTCATTGCTTGTTCTAAAAAATCAAGGTTGTCTCTGCTGAGTGATTTTGGAACAACAATTTTTGGAACAACAATTTTTGGAACAACATTTTGGAACAACAATTTTTGGAACAATTTTTGGAACAACATTTTTGGAACAACAATCCAGGGGCAAAGTAGTTGATGTCTGTTACAGCGTAATATCCCAAACACTCCAGCCCCACTATTCCTCAAAATAATTAAACATTTTCTCTCTGCGGTTTTATAATTTACATGTTGAAGTTTTCGTCTTGGGTCAAAGAATATATATTTAACGTTTAATACAGATTTGATTGCAGTACTGCTTAGTACAGGAGAAGGAAGACAAGCACTAAACAAACATCTATAATTGCACTTGTAGGCTGTTTTCTAAGCACGCCGTGTCTAGGATGGAGGCTCCACACTCACCTTGTACAACCAGCACCGATTTTGTATTGGGTGGAATATTTTCCTTTGTCTTGGCGGTGGTAAAAACATCCCCCGAGCCATCATACCTTTGAGGGGTGTGCTGCATTTCTTAGCGAAGCTGTCAAAGTTAAACCTCTTTGTACCAGGCAGTCACCTACCACAATAAATTAAATGCCCTTCTGGCTGACAGTAGCCAAGTGCAGATGTAACCTCCATGTTGCTTTGAGAAATTAGCTAGTGCATCCTAATTATAGCTGTACTTTGACATCTCAGTGAGCCTGGGATTTTACAGGAGAAGGCTGCAAGCACTACACACCTAAGAGCAAGTTCCTTCCAAGTGAACACAAACATTCTAGCAAGATTCTGGAACGGGGAAAGTATGCTGGTTTTCTTCAGAAAACCGTTAGATGTCTGTCTAGATAAGAGATTGGCTGAGTGGGGTAACCACGCCAGTCCCTGGCAGATCAGCACCTTCCTGGAAGGTGGTGTTCAGAAAAACCGTGGTGTCTCCTTAGGGGATAGCGGGCATCTTTGTATTAGTGAAGAACATGGGAACTCCAGTTTAAATCTTTAGCAACAGCCAACACCACATGCATCAGAAGGTGCGAGGACCCTAAAGAAAACCTGGGAGTAGCTCATCGGCAAATGAAGCTCTTCATAGTCCATACGCACAGAATTTAGCTCCTACTGAGAGCCCTGATGGTTTGTGCTCTCATCCTGCGTCGCTGGCTGGGTGTCATACCCATCGTATCCGTACAGATGGGATTCTTAAACAGCCCTAGAAATCATTAGGCTTTAGGTTTTTTTAAAAAAAGTTTAGTTTAACTTACCCGTCCAACTTAGAATTTTCGTGAGTACTACCAGTTCTGCCAAGATTTAAGGGACATTTACTTTTTGGCTCCTTGTAAAACAATTCTTACTGAAGCCGAGACATTATCGAGACCGATATATTTCTGCTTGTATAATTCTGAGACATTTTGTGGGGGGATTGGGGGTAAAGTTTCATGTAAACCAGACTATGAAGTCGTGGGTGAGAATTGAGATTGAATACCAGCTTTTCAACCCATACCTCTCTTTAGAACAAAAGCTTCGCTTAACAGAACTGCCCTCAAGAACGAAGTAATCATTCAGTAGCTCTTGTATTGTACGTTTAATTGTCTTTTAAAGGATACGTTACAACTGGGAGGGGAGGGGGGGAATGACACGTTAATGTATTAGTAAACTATGCAGGAAGTTGTGCAAAATTAATTTCTGTTCTACAGCGAGAATTAACAAGATTATCTTATTGCATGAGAGATTCCAGAGGCTTTATCTTCCCTTCAGCACAGAGTCTCCATTAAGTTTAATCAGTCACAAAGGCACATTCCAAAGGAGAACACAAATCATGTGAAATCATCTTATCGAGTTAATGAATGACTCACCTCCCTCCTGTACGGAAAGACAGCCCAAGGCAAATGCACCATTAACCTGAACATGACAAATTCAGCACTCAGGAGACGAGCTCGGTGACAAGGTATCCTCCTGGCTCTGAAAGGAGCTCTTTTAAGGAGTCCGTAAGCAGAGCTAACGGAGGGTTTGTGGGATGAGCGACACTGCACAGGGGCTCTCCAACATACAGCACAGCTTTAAAAAAAAGTTCCACGTGTAGGACAAGTAAGCAATAAATTTAAAATAGAACAAGCATTACTGAGGGAAGGTGTTCCCACTGATGCTGGGTTTTGTTACCAAGGAAGTATATACATTTCTTTACAGCCCTAAGCCCTGAATTTTGGAACTATGCTTCTCCAACGGCTTTGTCACTAGGTATTAAAATTGGCCTTTTTTTTTTTTTTTTTCCCCCAGCTCCCCTTACCAAAGAGTAGCTTAGTGACAGTAAATTCAAGCCTAGGGCCAAAGGGAAGGAATCAGATTTAATCTTCTCCCCTAAAAACTTGATTTTTAAGTGTAGCTCAAGCTTAGGGCTGGGTGGAAGCCCAGGACAACAGGACAAGACATTAAAGATGTCCTTGCTATATGTCTCCGGAGGATAGAACCTGGAATGCTAGTGCTGAAGACTTACTGTCCATAATTAGTCACAGAACAGGTTAATTAATCTCCGTATAGCAGCTCTGATAGCAGGGCTTGCATCCAGTTTGGTGAAACTGTGGGGGTGCCACAGTGATTCGGTGGCCGAGATCCAGGCAGCGCTGCGCTGGGGTTTGGAGGTGTGTATTTGAAGAAGAAAAATAACTGGTTTAGGTGGTCTTGCTGTCTGGCTTTTCTTGACTCACTGCTGCTCCTTGAGCTCAGCTGAGGGCTGGGAGCTCAGAGTAACCTGCTGGGGAAGCAAATTGCCAAGTTTTTGAGTTTCCCGCTCTCTCGGACTGATACCAAATACCAAGGCAAATGACCTGGGGGCAACTGAGCCCTTCAAAGTCCATCTGGGGTCTGCATGTCACTGGAGCAGATGAATTGAATACCAGTGCCAGAGGGAGAGCGGAACATTGTTGATGAGACTCAAGAATTCAGCAGGCAGACAGGGAGAAAGAAAACTTTCCTGCTAGAGCACTCTGTCAGTGCCCATCAGCCCTGGCCCTATCGTTCCATTTCTCGGAGCTCACTGACCAAGCTCTGCCATAAACCAGAGACCATCTGGGAACACTAAATTGTCGCTGCACTTTATAAAAGGCAGGACGTCTTTTAATGAAGTGTCTCCATGTCCTGGTCAAAGGCCAAGGGGATTAACAACCTCTTTTTCTTCCTCTTCTCAGAAATCCTGGTGGCTTTGACCCGATCTCCTCTGCCTACTGTACATTTCTGTGTTACGTTATTCTTCTTTCTCTTAATGCTTTTCCCTTCCATCCCTGAGATGCTCTACTTTTGGGATGCCTGATTTGAGCTACCTGTTGAGTACACTGGATGAGTTGGAGGAAAGCTGCTCTTTGTCAAGTGGCTGCTGACAGCAGGAATGGATTTAGCCACGTGTAATCTTTCTCTGAGTGCAGGTGCCCAGAATGAAAGGCCAGGGGCAGTAAACAGCCGAGTCTTGAACAAGCTCATAAGCTGAAAAAATAAAACTGTATCAACATTTAATAAATAGAGAACAGGCGGTAAGCAAGCAAGAGTGAGGATTCATCACTTTGCCTTTCGTTTGTTATTTGTCAGGCATATTTATATAAAAGAGGGTACAGACTTGGGAGCTATTAGTCGAGTTGGTTGTTCCAGCCAAGCCAAACCTTTAAGCTTTGGGAGAACTTGGCTGAGGACAGCCTTTAGGCTTGACAACCAGGACACCTCAACGGACAGTGCAGGCTGGGAGATGATCTGTGAACTTGCCGGTTTCCTCCCCTGACCTCTCCTTTTTTTGGCCAAGTCTTTGTCCAAGCAAGATTCCTTGCTCTTCCGGGAATCAGTTCCCTCCAGAGTCTGTCACGCTCTCTGCCTGTGCTTATATCCTTGGGCCTCTGTAGCTGGGAAGAACACAAAAAGTACAATGTCAGCTTTATCCACCCATTCTCCAAACTTGACTCAGTCAGAGATCTCATCCCTGTGGCCATCTTCACTGTCACTCCAGCCTCTTGCTGGGAAAAAGTCTGTGCTTCTGCACTCTCACACAGCTTTGTTTTTAGCTCTTGCTTCACTTCAGCCTGTCAAGAATCCCTTTGTGCTTCGTGACAGCAAGTGGCTTCGTCGTGGAAGGAGGAAAGCAGATGTGTTGTGCCTTAGTAGCTGTGTTTAATAGTTAACTTGTCCCTGCCACGTTGAAAAGCGAAGGGTGGCCAAGAGTTTAAATTACTTTTAAATAGTGCTTCCAATGCCCGTGCCAGCTTTTAGCAGTCCTCCCACCCTTGTTATCCCAAAGTAGATGCAGGACTGTCTCCACTGCGCACTTTTTCTCCCGCCTGCAAACACAACGCCACTAGGAGGAGCATTGGTCTTAAAAATGGGGGGAAAAACCCATTTTTAGACAGCACCTTTTGGGCTGCTAGCTGTGATGAAGCCCTGTTGGCAAGCTAAGCTGATGAGCACAGAGGATTTCAGCCATGAGAGCTCCCCTGTGTTGGATCTCCAGCACCTCAGGGCCCTTCAGGACGCTTTCCCTTGGCTAAGGTACCCCAGGGTTCTGCCTTGCACCCCAGCTCACCTGGCTGCATGTGCACCATGCGGCACAGCCCTTTGCCCGCCTGGTTCTTGTACACGGGCTTCACACATACTTTGTTGGTGGTGCCTGAAGCCAGGTCTGTGAGCAGCACGCTGTGGATCTGCGGCGAAACGCTGAGGACAGACGAAGGGCCGCTTTGCCGCCGGCATCTGACTCTGTACCCGAGGACTTTGCCATCGGCAGAGTCCCAGGAGGCTTTCAGGGTGTTCGGACCCATGTCTTCAAAGCGAAGGTGCCTCACTTTGGAGCCCTCTAGAGAAAGAAGACTCATGTCACTGTGGGCCGTTTGTATGGACTGGTCCTTACCGCCTGCTCCTTGTTCCTCCTGAGGGGATTTTGAGACGGGGTTGCCAGCCAGCCCGCTCTTTCTCTGGTGTAGAGATACAACAGCGCCTCACTCTACATCTCTGCACTGGAGAAGCTCAGCCTAACTAGTCCTTAACTTTGTCCTGGTACCAGCACAAAATCCTTTTGTTGGCACTGTTAGGCACCGGTTGGCCACCTCCCACACCCTCAGCTTCTGTCATTCCCTGAGCTCCTCACTCTTGAGTCTGAGAACTAGATTTTGCCTCCTGCAGTATCTTTACAGGTAACTCTACAGAGCAGAAGCTTCTGCTGATGAAATTCCCACCCCTCTGACAGCAAAGAACAGACCCTGAGGAGATAGGAGAGAAAGGCAGTTTTCTTTCTTCTTTAGGGAGACTTGGGGATCTCCAAGTCTGTTCTGCTTGTGACTGCACCGGCAGCTTGGCAGTACACACCCTGTAATAGCAGTCATACAGTGCACGTCTGATTTTCTTTCAGTCCTACGCCTTGCACATCTGCTACATCCCAATAGCGTATCATCTGCTGTTCATCAGACGCTGCAGCCTTCCCCTTCTCCCATCCCTCCCCAGTTTCTGGGCTGAGTTCTCTGGCTTCACCCAGAGGCAGATGACCTATGCAAAGAAACAGGCACGCTCCAGACTGCGGCTCACTCACCTTCCTGAGTGCATGCTTTAGCTGACAGGGATTTCTCCTTTCCTGACTTGTAGACTGCAGTCACTGTCACTAGGTAGGTCGTATTGGGTGCCAGATTCTCCACCACAGTGCTATTGCTCTTGCTATCCACCTCCAGCAGCTTGACGGAGTTCCCGGGGAGCGGTCCATACAGGATCTGGTAGCTGATCACACTGTCCAGTGTTGGAGCCCAACTAACCTGGAAGCTGTGTGGTGCAGACTCTGAGATGAGAACCTGAGCTGGGCTTATTTCCTCTGAAAGCAATGTAAAAAAGATGTGAATGAGTGTGTAATTCAAGGTAGAAGAATGCTGTCAGAGGAGCATAATAGACCTGCACCATACTTGGCTTCCAGGTGGAAGAAAATCCATCCACCAAGTGGGTGTTGATAGTCATCCAAGTCAGCACAACCCAGCTCAGCCCTAAGAAAATGGGTTTCTCTACCTGTGCGTCATAGAGCAGGTAACACTACTCAGCTCAAACTGTTCCTGTGTGCAGAAGGTTAATATTGCATGCAATTTCATCTTGATCTTGTCACCCCTGCTCAGATTTTCAGTGTGCCAATTTTTTGCATGTTGCTGTCCAGCATAAATCTGAGTTACTCTTCTGACCCAAAGGACTAGTCTGCACAGAGGGACTAGATCTGCTCCGAGTGCTCCCCACTCCTTCCCTCCTACACAAGGGTTCCCCACCAGTGAGTACACCTGCCTGGAGAGGCAGCATGGACCTGCTTAAGAGCATTACTCTCCTCTAACTGCATCTGCAGCCCCAGGTAGGAGACAGGGATCACCTTGTTCCCATAGCAGCTGCTCAAGCTATGAAGGCTAAAATAGCCTTCATTTAAAAAAAAAATAATTTACTCTTTGGCAGTAACCCACATAAGGCAGCGCTGCTTCTGCCTGACCATCATTCTGGGATAGTGGGTAAGCATGTGCAGCAGCCTGGGCTTTATCCCCCCCCCCGGGCTCTACACCTCAGCCCTGTCAAATACTTGCAAGCTTCATCTCCTGCCACATTCTCCCAGAGCAGTGGGCTCTGCTTTCCTCCAGATTCATAGATTTTTTTTTTAAGGTTGGAAGGGCAACTTATGACCATCAGACCTGATCCCCTGTTCTGGGTGGTCCGGACCATCTCATTAAGCAAAGAGCTGCCAGGTGAGTGCCAGGCTAAGGAAACTCATTATGTTCTGTCCCTACGAGGCTGTGGGATGCAGACCAAGGACTCTCCTGTTTGCTTTATGTATGTGAGACTCCGCACAGTGGAGACTTCCCCCTTGGTCACGACTGTGCACATTTTACCTGCCAGTGTGGTAACCCTTGTTGTCTGGGGAGGGAAGTAGTGGACGTTGGATTCAGGAACGAGTGCCACCTCGTAAGTAGTTTCTGGTGCAAGGTTGCTTAGCAGGAGGCTAGTGTGAGCCCCAGACACTTGCTTTGTCCTCTTCCTTGCTAGATCATCTATCGGGGCATACTCGAGGGTGTAGTAGCCAGTTTCTTGGGAGAGGAGTTTGGGCCACGTCAGACGGAAGCTGCTTGAGGTGATGTCTACTGCATGGAGCCGATCTGCTTGGATAACATCTGGAAAAGAAACAGGATCCAGAAATCACCACTGACGTTAATACACAGAACACAGCACAGCTAAGATACAGGCCCTTCTGGATGGGAGATGTAGCCTACAGCAACCCTGGATGAACTTGGTGTCGCCAAGCCCCTTCACAGCAATTCAAGTGAACCAGACCCTCTTTTCGAGGTTCAGGAGAGCAAAACTAAATCCTTGAAGCCAAGTGTAAAGCTAAAAAAAAAAAAAGTAAAACAACTGCCAACTGAGGCAACAATATTTGAGTTTTCACACCACTCCTACTCCTCAGACAAGACTCTTTCACTGAACAGAGCTTGCAAAGGGAAATGCACATGTCTCAACTGCCATGAGGTGGCATTTTGGCTAAAGCAAGAGCTCACGTGTGTCTGCACAACGAAACAGTTTTCCACAAGCCTCCAAATCGCTCCATAAAGCCTCAGCTTTCCCTCTCCATTCTCTCTGCCTTGTCCTCTGTGCTAAGGCCAAACGGTGCTGGTGATCTGCGGTGACAGAGAGACCTGGGACTGCAGGAACCATGCCCCTGCCCATCCAAGCCTATCTTGCACCACCAAGAACGAATCTGGAGTGGTCCAGCAAGTTGTGGGCAGCTGTTACTGCCTGACAGACGTGTGGGAGTTACTGTGCCTGGTCAAACAGGCAGCTTCTCACGCTCGGCGAGGCGTTACCCCCCACCCAACATGGCAAGCAGCACGGGCGCTGCCCGCGACAAAGCTGGAGACAGAACTCAGGCATCCAGGTTCCAAAACCCCTGTGGCTGGTTCATCCCAAGCTGGTGCATCCCTGTGGAAATCACCTACTAGTGAAACCAAACCACTAAGTTTTGTCACGGATCTGAAGCAGACCAGAGTGTGGAGAAATAAGATTTCTCCCTGCTCTCTGCCTGTAGCCAGTGGCCAGAAAGAAGGGGCAGCACTGGGGACTGTCCGGCATTTGCTGAGGCGGCTGCATTCATCCCAGCTGAAGTCACTCCCCGCAGCATTTCACAGAGCTCCATTGTTTTGTGACATTCAACATTCAGAGCCACTCTTGTGCTATCTCGCCCCTCTCTCCCCCTGCACAGAGGCTTCTCTTCAAGGCTCGTCTACCTTCGAGCTCCAGAGCCCAAATGCCAGACACGAATACCTCTTCTGACGCTTGGCAGTTCCCCCAGCCTCCTCGGCTACTTGACCTTTCCGACACACGTGGCCTCCTGAGCCCATCTGGGGCAGAATCCCACTGCTCTCTGGTCTTCCACAAAGATGGAAACACCCAGGACTTTGTTTCTAGCTCCAGGGAAGTGGCATATGAAGACATAAAGATGTGCGCTTTTTTTTTTTTTAAATGCACCCGGTGGTACTCTCCAGCTCAAACTTAAACACTTCACAGAATACTCTAAGTAGCTCCCGCTGCCTGCCCTTTATGCAGAGGTAAAGGGAGGCACAAAAGTCTGCCCAGACCTGCAAGAGAAGAGCAGGTAGCCTTGCACTCTCCGACTTGTCCCTTAACCAGGAGAAGATCAGCTCTTCTCTGAGCTACTCCGAGTCCCTGCCAACTTCCCTGTACCAAATAAAACAGCCTCAGTTTTTCCTCTGAGCTGTTTTTTGGCCCTTCCAGAGAGGCAGGGACATTTCCCTCCTCCGTGCCCTGCCCGCGCCCAGCCAGCAGCACTCCACCGCTCAGAGCTTGGAGGAGGCAGAGGGTGGGAAGCAGCACCACGGGGCCTGGGGCACTGCACCCTTCAGTGAGCCCCGCAGCTAACAGTGGCCAAACCACAAAAGAACAGGGAACAGAGGAAAGGCCTCAGCGCCAAAAATCCTGCCAAAAGTTCAGGGAATGGAAATAAGTGAGCTTGGAGGCAGGGCCCAGGGCCACTGTGAATAAATCAACCAGATTAAAGGGACAGGGTGCCAACACCTGAGGGGCGTGCTGCAGGAAACCCACAGCAAACAGCTCTGCCCCTCGTTGCCAGGTTAAAGATGCCTTGAGTGTATAAAGAGGGCAATAAATCCCAGAAAATAGATGCCCATGGGATGCTTCACAGCACCTCCTTGCTCCCAGAGGGAAGTAGCAAGTTAATCTCTTGGTTTAGACCCGGGCAGCGCCTTCCTAGCAACACTCAGATACAGTTTGTGACGCACTTGCCTTCCACCTCCCACCTCTCAGTGACTTGAAACACTATTTTGCAGCCACAAGTTTGCTGGCATCCTGTGAATGCTGTTGAGGTCAAGATTAGACTCGCAGGAATGCTGCTACTTTCATGATGTGTGGAAGAAATGCAGCCAGGCAGCAAATGAGAATGTTCTAGGCCTGGGTACATGTTCCCCTCTCTGCAGAAGCTTCGGCTAGGACTTGGGACAAATCACTTCTTCTTTGTGCCTCTATTTCCCTACTTTGATATGGTTCTGATTCTGGTAGGGGGGAACACACTTCTCCGTTATGAGGGGGGACATTCAAGGTCGGAGATCACTCCCTCTGGTCCCCTGCTCATATTCAGCACCGAGCTCAAAGCCTTTGCTGCAGCAGAATTATCCAGGACCTTGTTTCAGATCAGAAGCGTGTTGCTCTGAATGTGCACGGGGAGCGGCTGATGCTTTGTGACTGCTGGGCAGGTGGGCTCCTGCAGAGCTTGGCGCAGGAGATGGTGCCAAAGGATGAAACAAGTCAGCAGCTGCCAGTTCAACTGGCTGAGGGGAGAGCAAGTGGGTGCTAGCACAGAACCTGATGTCATCTCAGAGGAATCCCTTGGTTTCACAATATTTGAAGGTTCTTCCCCAGAAGGAGAGCACCAAATGCCGTACGTCGGGTACATAATATAGAAGATGCAATGGAAGAAGCCTGAGCTAAATCCCCTTTCCTTCACACTAGGAGGGGCAGGGGGACTTGCCAGGAGCCAGCAGTGGCCATGGCCATAGCCGGGCTGGCTGGGAACTGGAGCCTGCTGCATTCTGCAGCCTCGTGTCGGGGCCCTGTGCTAAGGAAAAAGAGTGGGAGTGATCACACACATCCATCCCCAGTCCCTGTATTGCTCCCTTCTGGGTAGGACCATTACTGGAGCTATTTCACATCCACCATGTCTAAGCAGCAGCCGATCTTCTGTGTCGCAGCCAGGTTTTTCAAAAAGGGAACTGAGGCAGAGACATGGCATCCCTTGGCCTCATCAGAGCCTGTAGTGGGACAGAAATATAGTTTGGAAGGATAAGGCACCTTCCTTTTGTCTGCTTGTCCAAGTAGCAGTTGTCTTGCTGCCTAGGACTGAAAACCCTTGATGTGAACTCCAGACTCAGCCCTAAACTGTTCATTATATTATTTGTCTGCTCAGATCTCTGTTCAAATTTCCAAAGGCAAAAAAAAAAAAAAAAAAAAAAAAAAGAAATTGCAACAGCAATTGCAACAGCAACTCGGTAGCCAGGAACCATTGTGCTGGGATATCTATGGAGCAGGCATGAAACACTCCGTTCCGGGATAGGAGGTGGAGGGAGGAGAGCAACTCTTGACAAAGCTTGTTTGTGCGTCTACAAAAGGCTTTTAAAACACAGTAGCAAGAGATGAAGATAAGATAGCAGTGATAATAAAACCAGTCTGGGCCATTCCAGAGTTGGAAAGGGACAAATTTCTGCCTGCCAAGGATGCTGTCTGCTCCTGCTACCCCAGGGGCCAAAGCAGGAAGGGTGGTGAGGAGGGCTGTCTCCTCCTGGCAGGGAAGAGTGGACCTACGTGGCTTTATTAAGGCTAACTTAGGTGATGTTACCAATTTCTGGTATTTTGCTTAAAGCACCAGCCCCTGGATTCATGTGGGAATCTCCCCTTCCACTAAAATCCCAAACCGGTAACTTTTAGACCCGGTGAATGCACAGCATACGGCCCTCAGGCACAGCAGAGTATTTATTACCTTTGCAGATTTTATGACCTTCAAGACAATTTTGTGCTGCAAGGATATGCAGGCAGGTTCTCATTTTGGAATGCTATTTTATACCATCTGGACTCAGGAGGCACTAGAAGCTGAAACGGCCACTCGAAATGAAACATCTGGGGGACTGTGTGGTGTCTGGTACAGTAGGACTGCTGGTACAACCCCGTCCTCATACAGGGGAGAGGTGGGTGGCTGGAGGAGAACGTAGTCCCTGCGTGGGATTTGTTAAGTGATCATGGGTGGAAATAAAAAAATAAAAATAAATAAATTGCTGCATACAGAGGATGCTGTGGAAAGGATTACTTGGACACTCCAAAGCCGGCACTAACCAACTCATATAGCAGAAGCCAAATGAGGAATTAAAATAGGATTTCCAATGGAGAGAGAACCTCCAAAAAAAAAAAAAAAGAACGGAAAGTCTGCAAAGTCATAGTAACTCACTCAGCTTTCCAAACAAATCCAGAGGTATCTGGGAGGCTGAGGCAAACCCCCTGCTTTGCGATCACGGGCACTCCCACGCTGAGCTGCAAAACGAACACGTACTGTGCGGTGCAGCATGCAGGTTAGCGTGAGATATTCCTCTCGGCTTCCAAATGCCTGTCGTCTGGCCCAGATTATGGCTTTGGGTCTCCTCAGACCCTTTCCTGGATGCTTTAAAACACAGGCCTGCTGAAAATTCAAATCTGCTGCCTGTTCCTGCTCTCTGCACAGCAACCACCACAGCCACGCTAGCAACGAGGAGGCAGCAGTTGGCCTGCTAAGCCTGACGAGTTAGGGCTGGGGTTTCCTTCCAAGGGCTGGGCTAGCCAAGTCGAGCTATAGATCTGGCGGATGTGGAACACGTTACAACAGGGGATTTATGGAACAAAAACATTCCTCTCCTACGGTCTTAATGCTGATCGCAAGCACCATCCCTAATTGCTCTTAAGAGAACAACAACCGCCAGCCACTGGTAGGCAGGAGTTATCCCGGTGTGTGTAACCAGCCACTGTGCCTGGACGTGGTGGAGGGTAAATGTAGGAAGTCAGATCCACCCTAGACAAGAGTTTGAGGGGGTTGACAGGACTAAATCCTTCCCAGGCACACACGTCGCGTGTCGCGTATGCCATGTGTTCAACACATTTGTGTCCTCTGCCTCCATCAGACGGCACGCAGCCAGACAGAGGAAAAAATCCACCCTGAATGTGAAAATCAAGTTGAGGGGGTTTAGGCACCTTGCTCCCACAGTCACCAGCCTCTTACTGTAGTTAAATCATTGCCTGTTCAGGAAGCCTTTGGTTAACAATTAACCTGTGCAGGTGGGGGCATTTTCATGACACACTCGAATCGTACAGGTGTCTGTGACCCGCATGATTCATTTCACAGTCTTGTTGGTTTTTAAGGAATTTTATATGCTGCCTGAGCCTCCTTCCTTCATTAACAACCGAACGACTCATTACAAACAAGAGTTCATCCCACTAACGGATCTGCAGAAGGCAATTTGTCCCAGTCAGTCATGGGCCCTTGGACAGAGATACTTGTCCCAGATCTCCTAAAAGCTTTGGTTTATGCTTGGACCTGTGGCGTTGTGAACAAAGCATCTCAGTTTGCAAAGGGGTTCTCTCACTGCCCGCCCTGCAGAACCAGGCACTCACTCATATTCAGCCCCGTTGCAAACTCCCAGTGAGCACAGCCCAACCCCACTGTACCTAGGATAGCATCTCGAAGTTCCGTTGTGATGATGGGTAGGTCGTCAACATCCACAAAGTGCAGGTGCTTCTCAGGAGGCTGGCTGGCAGCAGCAGAGAGTTCCAGGTAATTCCCCCGTCCAGTGCTGACTATGAAGACTGTTACTCCCATGTCCTTCAGGAGCTGCATGGGTTCAGAGATGTCATCAGTGGAGAAACCATCCGTCACCCAAACCAGTACCTTGGGCACATCTGGCCGGGCACCAGCTTCATCACTGAAGAGCTTCTCCTTGGCGTAGGAGAGTGCTTTGCCTGTGTTCGTGTCACCCATGAGCTGCTGAGTGTTCCGGATGGCTTGTTGCAAAGTCCCACTGGACAGGTACCGGTCAAACGGGAACTCCATGGTGGGCGTGGTGCTGATGTGGATGATGCTGGTCTGGACATCTTTGGGGCCGAAGGTGAAAGGTTGTACAAGGTCCCACATGAATTCCTTGACCCTGGAGAACTCATAGTAGGAGACGCTGCCAGAGCTGTCCAGCAAGAAGAGGAGGTCCCCCTTTGAGTTGGAAACAGATGGCTGGGGACCTAGCAGGGGAAGAGAGAGGGAGCTGTGTTAGTGGAATGCTGTGGACCCAGACCTGCCCACCCTCTGCTAGCAAAGCTTGGTTATCTTGTGCCAAATCTCAGGATTCAGTGAGAATTTAGCTGGGTAGAAACCTCAGAATTTGCCCCTTTTTATTATTTGCATCTAGTGTGAGGGCTCCTGGGTTTTATTTTCAGTCTGGCTGTCAACTCTTCAGGCACTTCTCACCCCATGTCCCCAGCACCCCGTCTTCCCTCACTGGACAGCTTTGCTTAGGCTCATCTGATCACAGCTGTTCTTTGGAACGTTTTGAGATGCTCACCCTGAAGTGTTAGAGATTTGCCTGTGATTGCTCAGAAACTAAGTTCTCTTAGCACCTTTTGTTTTAAAGGACATCACCGCCAAAAAAAGCTTTTTCGTGATTGTTCAGAAACCAAGTTCTCTTAGCAGCATTTGTTTTAAAGTACATTGCCAAAAGAAGCTCTTTCTGTTGTGAACAAAAAACTGGTTCCTACTTAGGTCCAACCATCCGAATTGGTTACAGGGAGTAAGAGGAAAAAGAAGTTCATGAGACGCCCCCCTCCACCCCCCGAGTGAGTAGCAGGATTGTGACCTGTGTTGGACAGTTTGTCTCCCACCGCTTTCTTTGGGTTCAGCCCCACTTGGAGAGGTCCCAGCCTGCTGTAGCCCTGCCCAAGAGGGTCCCTGCGAGGAGAGAAGTCAGAGCACTGCGGTGGGGCGGGAAACACCTCTCGGAGGCACTGCAGGACAGCAGCCTAGCGCTGACCTGCCTGCCCGTGGGACCCTCTCAGCGGCAGGCGTCAAACGCGCCTTGGCCAAGAGGGTAAGAGATGCGAAGGAAGAGTTGGAGCGATAGAGCAGCAGCGGTGGTGTGCCTGGTCCTTATGGCGCAATCTCCAAGCACACAAGTGCTGCGGCTGCCCTACCCGACGTGTTTCGGCCGCCTGAGGCAGAGAGCAGAGACTCGCAGCCCTCGGTGAGCCGTCTCAGCCCCGCTGGGCGCAGCTTGCCCTCTGCCTCCTGGCAAAGGCCAACGCTGTGGGGAGGTCTGGCCCTTTGGAGCTCACTCCTTTTACGTGTTCTGCGCCGCAGCTACATCAATCACCATTCAACAGAGGGAAGGCTGGGGATGCATCCCACCCGGCTGCTGTGCTGAGCTCTCCAGGAGCAGGGAGAGGAGCTTTTGAAGTCATGGTTTACACATTTGCAAAGATCAAGACAGCAAGGAGGAGCAATAGCTACTTTTTTTTCTTTTTTTCCCCCCACCTTTCTATTCACATGCATGATCCCTGCTGCTCAAGGAGCTACCTGGATGGCCAGAAGAGACCTTGTGTCTCTCAGAGGAAAAAGGCCGGTCATGGGAGAGGAGAGGCAGCCAAAAGACTGAAAAACTGGGATGGAATACACCTCAATTCAGCCTAGTGCCTGACCCCTGAGAAAATACAGCTCCTCATGGAATGAGGGCAGGATGAATGCCTGATACTCTCCTGGTCCAAATTCCATCAAGATGCATGGGAGGGAGCAGAAAATGGCATTGCAGCAGTGGAGGGAAGTAATTTCCCAGGACACTAATCTCACCTCCTCAGTCCTGCAGAAGGACAGGGGGCTGGAACAGAGCAGGGAGCCAACACAGGGTAGAGGAGATGCCCTGGACTTGACACTGCACTTCCACACCGCCCTCAGGCAGGGTCTGCAAGCACTGCAGGCTTACAAAACCTCATGACAGTCTTTCCAGGCACATGTTTTTAACCCATTACAGATAAACTGAAAGACCAGGGCAGTAGGAAGAAGCAGGAGCTCAGGCACAGGAATCGGGGTAGAACTAAAAGTACAACCCACAAGTCCTGGATCCTGCTCTTAGTGCTGCAGAAGAAAATGTCTCTGAGCTGCATCAGCTCGCACTCACACCTCTTGTTACACAACACCAGGCTGATCCTGAGTACTTTCTCCTCCAAATTGGAAGTGGACATGTTCCCGGAGCTGGGAACATTCCTCACCAGCCGGAGCCAGCAGGTCAGTCATGCCCTGTGCCAGGGAGCTGCTGCTCTGGGCTAATCTGCAGCAGCCCCAGAGAAAGAAGCGAACTGGTGATCGCAAGACCAAGAGCAACTGCCAAGGTCAGGAGCAACTCTGGGGCCAAATTACAGGTTTATCCCATCTTATGACGATGGCGGTGTCTGGAAGAAAAAAATGAGCGGTATTTGGAAAAGAATGAAATGATAAAGGAACTTGATGAGAAAAACTGCTGGCTCTTCTCTCCCAGGAGATGTGGCTCATTGTCAGAACAGGCTGCCTCGCAGTTCAAAGGCGACGGGTCCACACAAAGCTGGCAGAAAGCTCCCTGGTTTCGACTACTGTTGGCAGGCAAGTCTGGAGTGGAGGGACTCCACCCTAGATCACTTTATAAAAACCGGGTTAATTTTGATGTTTTCTTGCTCTTCTGAAGACGTATTGACCTCCTTCCCCAGACAGTCTCGGGAGCAGCACCTCAAAGGGGCTCTGGGGCGAGATGTCTGGGAAAGGGCTGCCCAGACCCATTTGTGCAGAAGAATGCAATATGTCAGGAAGAACATGCTTCCGAGGGTGTGGCCTGGGGTCGCGCTCCATCTGACTCGTTTTCTCACCATTTCAGCTAAACTGCCATGTGGGATGCACAAACATATAGGGCACTCCTCCTCTTAAAACCTGGGAGACCTGCAATAGCTGGAATATCAGTAATGAATTTGGAATTCTTGTAACCACCGCCCTGCTTTCTGACGGCTTTTGAGGTGCAAGAAGGGAGAAGAAGCCTTGGACTAGAGATTCCTGTCTGCCCCTTTGGACTCGTTTATCAGTGAAGGGATCAGGAACGTGGGGTGGCCAAGACATGTGAGCTCTGGAGCACGGATGGACTTGGTGCAACACACAGTGGTTGAGTGCTGGAGCCAAAACCACAAGGCAGTAGACAACTGAATGGAAAAGCTCCTGTAAAATTAATTGCTCCGAGGAGACGGCTCATGCAAAAACAGCTCTTCCCCTGCAGAAATCCATGTCAAAGCAGACCCGGAGACAGCAAAGAGCCTGGCAGGGGGTTGCTGAGCCCCCGCTGGGCGCTACTCCAAGAGGCGATATAAGATGGCAAAAATCAAGAGGAGGGAAAGGGCAGGGGAAGAGTGAGTGTGTACGAGAGGTCTGTTACATGTCCTGAGAGTGAAACCCAACGACCTGAGCACAGGAAAAATCATGAATCAGCACGGCCACAGCCGTTCAGGGTACAGCACAAGGGGCTCAAGGGGAAACAGAAGGTGAAGTGGTTCAGGCTTGAGCCACAGGGGACTTGATCCTCTTTGCCCAGTTGTCATTTGGACAGTGTTTACCCTGCTATTCCCTGGCTGGGCACCGCTCAGACACCTGCCTGTGTGACTGGGGCATGAGTGCCTGGGTCTGTCCCGCGGCAGGAGCGCTCCTGTCTGTGTGCTCAGGAATGTCGGGTACATGGAGAAAGGGCCGGGGGTGCTGGGAATGCCCACAGGATGGGGGACAGAAGTGTGTGGTCAGGAGCACGCTGCCTGTGGTGCAGTACAGGCGTGCCCTGCAAGAAAGCCAGAGTGCTTGCATGCCTGGTCTGTAAACACACAAATAAATATGCTGTGCTGCTGCAGAGGCCAAGACAGCCCAGGAACCACGGGGAAGGTGCTGGCTGAGATGGCAGACGCGTATCAGATCTCCTGAAACAACAGGAGAAAGCAGACGGAGCCTTTGGAAGCGGAGAAGATTGAAGTTACCTGGCGGTGACTAAGCAAGAGACGCGAGGAGGCAGGAGCGGGACCTGCAATCCGTGTGGATGACAGCCAGTTCTGCGGGATGCAGCACGGCTCAGCCCCGTGCTGCAGACACACACACCCAGCAATCTGGCATTCAGAGCTGAGCAGAAAATAAAAGTGAAGCCCAGTCAGCTTTCCAGCTTGCCCATAGCAACATGCCAACACAGTAGAGCTCAACCTGTGACCTACAGGTCCCTGCCCCTGGTTCCTAGAGCTCCCTCCGTCCTGCGGGCATTTCAGCAGGGCAGAGCAACAAGGGCTTTCTTTAGAGCTTGTGGCTGCACGAAGCAAGCCAAACCCCCACAGCCATGGCTCTGTGCTTTCGCCTCCACTGGAACAAGTATGAGCCACTTACTTGGCTGGCAAGCCATAGAGAGAGATCACAGCAACGTGATTGCCACCTCCCAGGAGAAAATCACTGCTTCTCCCCTCTGCTCCTCGCCAGATTGAGGAGTGTCAACTGGTTTCCCAAATGTTGCAACAAAACAGCTGTGAAAGTTTCTGACCCTGGCAGGGCAGGGATCAATGGCCAAAGGACGTGGCTCACGAGGGGTAAACAAGATCACATGCGCTAGCGCTCTGGGAGGGGAATTCAGAATTCCCCGCGAGGGAGCAGATGCGAGCAAATCCCACTGCTGCCAGAACCACCTGCGTGGGGGAACACAGGGGTGGGAAACCAGCATGGAACACCTGCTCAAAGGAGAAGAACGTCCGAGGAGAGCCAAGAGCCATGCCCCTGTCAAGTCCCACTCTTGGCTGGACCCTGCAGCTCGGGGGCACCGGGCGAGCTGGGCACAGTGTTGGTGTCCTTTAACTAGTTTCACCCATCAGACTGGGAATAGCTGTGTTAATTAGGAGGCTCTCCAGGAAGAGCTTGGCACCCTACGTTCTTCCTGAAGGGTAAGAAAGCGTTGGTTAACAACAACTGGTTAACAACTGGTTAACAAAAGCAACAGTTGCACTGGCGGGCAGGTATATATTCTGGAGCTAAAGGGGTTGTCTGTGGGTGGAGCAGAAGGCTAATCCTTCATACAGGCAAATACCATTACAGTTACCTCTACTTAGCACAGCCCTGCATAAAACGGGAACAAATTCCTCCCCTTTGGATTTTGTCAGCAGAAAGGAGCCGTAAAAAAAAAAAATCTAGACAGAGGAACCCGCTACATCAGGAGCGTGGCAGTGCTTATATTTTTACGGCTGGACACTCCATCGTCCTTCAGGTTTAGGTTTTTCGATTCCCTTCATCTTTTATCCTTTGTCCTTTGTCCAACATAAACATGCCATCTGTGCCAGAGGTGGGGCTGTGGAGATTCCTTACCAGTAAATCCCTGCATTACGCAAGCAGCTTGCTGTTTTCTAGCAGTTTCCTTGCTTTACAGCAAAAGAAGCTCGGCTCTTTGGCAAGATGCCAGGCGAAGATTTCTCACTTGCAGTGGGATTCTCAGAGAAGGGGCATCCATTAGCACCTTCCTGCCTCCCGAACTGACAGGCCTTTGCTTCCGAAGAGCTGAGGAATAACTCTGCCGGCCTCGTGTATCATTGCTGCTCCTGTGCTCAAGTCTGGGGAACAGCGGAGAGCTGGTGGCAGTACCCTGGTACCCGGTCGGCAGGCACAGATCAGTCACGCAGAGAAGTGTTTGGAAGGGATGGATATAGGAACAAAATGTCGCCGTGGAGTTAGTGCTGCCTATTTAAATGCTTGGCTTTTCCAGGAGAAAACCAGCTGGTCAGACTTCCCTGTTCCACACGGAGATGCTGACAGGAGGCATCCGCTTCAGGACCTCAGCTGGGACCTGAACACCAGCCACATGCCTGATGGACATGGAACTTGGAACTTGTAGAGCACTAAGGATTTAACAGCCAAAAAAGATCATGTCCTGTCTTGGTTAACTATGTTTGAAATTCCATGTTTGTTTTCCCTTCTCACTATTTGGCCACGCGAGGAAAAAAGTTCTGCGATGAGTTTGGGGGCTGAAGAACGCAGTCGGTGCTTCCCTGTGGCCCCTTGGGGTCACAGTGAGAGGCAGGAGGAGAGAGGCACCACCTCTCCCTGAAAGAGAAGTGTCCCACCAAGCCAGCCAGGAGGTGTTCTACCCTTAAAACCCCATCAGAGAGAGGCCTGGGCCATGGCAGATGCTGGATCACCTGCCTGCTTATGGAGCTGAGCCCCACCAAGCAAAGCATACTTGTGTGACTAAAAGCCCAAACTGCCTCTGCAGGTTCCAGCTCGTCCATGACACAGATTACAGGCTGTAGGTTGAGAAATGGCCCTTCAGACAAATTCCTCTGGCAGGAAGGACGCTGGGTTGCCATCTTTTACCATCTTTTCAGGAGTTTCACTATCTCTGCTGTTTTATTTAGAGCCTCAAGAGTCCTGGAATCATGGAATTATTGCCAGGTGCTGAGCTGGGCTTCAGAGATCAGTAAGTGCAGAGCCCTCTACACCGTCTGTATGGATGGGCTATGTCTTTATTTTTCACTTGCTGTGCCCACAGGGACAGCAACATCCCCGTCATTTTCTGCTGATGCTAGTCCAGAGTAGCCAGGTAACGACAACCTAAGTTTCATTTATCAAAGCCCAGACTATCAAATGGTGGGACTTTGCACAGATGCAACAGAAATCTGAATCTGGACCCAAAGAGGAAAGGGATGGAACTGGCCATGCAATGCTTTGCCTTGACTCTGTGCCTTGGTGCACTAAGCCAGTAGGCATTGTCCTGAAAAAGCTAATAACTCCTGGGCATGTAGAAGCACCACTGGCCACCCAGCAGCTTCCCCACTTTGTTCACTGGAGCTGAGAATAAAGCCACGATCATTCACATTCACTCAAATCCCCAGGACCCAGAGTTACGGACACGCATCCCTACCTCCCAAACAGTCCCCCTCACTCTGGGATCATGGCATACCACCACAGCACCTCCAGACCAGAGCTAGCCCATGCCCAGGAGCCCTGCCAGACCTGCTGTTTGCTCCAGGTTGCTTTCAGGAGCACCTGGGAGGAGGCTCCGAGGTCCCCGCATCACAGCCGCTGGGGCATGGGCACCGCGCTGACCAGCAGGTTCATTTCCTCTGCAGGTGCCTGGCAGCGTGCAAGCCAAAGTCAGCACATCAGTAACACAACTCGCACAAGTTTGCCTCTGGAGCAAGCCACAGTCCTCCTGGAAAGCCACGGCTTACTTGTTCACATACTCTGAAAGTCTTGAGCATTTTTAGCCTGGGCTGGGGAACTGTCACATACACTCCCACGGCAGCAGAAACGCGTGACAAGAGGAATAACTGCTGCCTGCGTGGACACCAGTGTTGTGACAATGCCAGAGGCAGCAATCCCAGTCCTGAACCCCGCTGTGTCACTGAGGGACAGCATCCAGTGCCCACAGACACGCCCTGTGTACCAGAAGCAGAATCAGACCCCAGCAGTCTGGGCTGCTGCCCGAGCCTGAGGACCTCCTGTCCGGAGAGGCAAGAGGTTCACTACTCCTTTCACACGGGATCACACTGCCCAGGTGCAGTGACAACCAGACACAGCCAGCAGTAGCCCTGCAGTCCCAAGGACAGAACCTTTTTCTACTTGCAAACACAAGGCAGAACAAAAGAAATTGCATCAGCTTAGCCATCACCATGGGGGCTAAGCCTGCCCAGCACTCCAGCCCATGAACCAGAAACGCGACATTCATCTCCTCCACGTCCCTCTCCCTGCTGTCAGTTCTGCGAGACTGACCCATAACCGTTTTTCCCAAGGAGCATCCAAGAGAAAGCATTTTAAAGAGGAAATATAATGACTGAAGTACAGAGATTAGCAAAAGAACAAGACAGGTATGGCATCTAATCACTTTTTACCTCCCCTAGTCGATGTGCCTCAGTACACAGGTAACAGTGAGGAGTCAGGACTTTTTTCCGTATGATTGCACTAAAGTTTCTGAAACGATTTCCTTCCTGCTGCTGGAAACAAGCAAGATAAAATTTCTTTCTAATACGGCAATTTTAGAAGGGTTGTTTTTTTGTTTGTTTGTTTTGTCTTTGTGCCAGCAAAGTAACGTACGAGTAGAGCTATACACCTAAAGCAGCAATATAACTTCAGCTTTTATTCTGAAAGAGGTTCATGAGAAGCTCTCAAGGACCGGGAGGTGTTAAGTGGGGGAAAGTAGTAAGGGAACACCTTGCCTTTCCAGGCACTCACCTCTCTCAGGTGCGTTCTGTCCCGCAGCAAACTGCAGCCACAGACCAAGAGAAAGCACCGTCTTGGCCAACATAGCAAAGTCTGGTCCTGGGCAAACTACCTTAAATCCAAAAGCTCGGCTCTGTGAAGGCAGATGAAAGGCTTCCGATCAGTCATATTACATGCAAGGATCCACCAGATCCCAGGGTGCCACTTTTACGCTGCTCATGCCTTGAGATCCGCCTGCTTCTCTCTGTGTGCTGCGCTGGGCTGTGGTGTAAGCTCTGGCTCCTGGAGGCAATTTTCCTTCCCCCCCCCCCC